GCACCCGTTACGACCACGATTATAGCTTATAAGCATAGAATCACGGGCATGATCCATCGCTTGTTATAGGTGTAAGGTAGTACCTCCGTACCTCAAGGTATACCTCCTGTCTATATAAGCGATGATCATACCATCCCAGCCGTGGCTGGCGTGGCGAGCTGCCGTGACGTAACACGCTCAGGATCACGTGAGGGATGATTAGCCGGCAATATTGCCTGATGGGAAGGGTCAGAGTGCGTAGTACTATCCGCGAAAATTCGAAGCGTTGTCGTGCCCTGTTTTTCTTCTCTGATATCTAGATATTTAGCGCCTTTGTAAACAACTACAGCTACAGCTAAAACACTGTGGAGGTTAATGCTGCCTGATTCGCATCTACTGTTGCCGGAAAGGATCGCAAATCATCAAAAACAGGTAATTTATACTGTTGTGAAGATGTGTGTGGCATATTGGGGTGGGGAGGGGGGTGTAGTTAGGGTGACGCCGTCACGTAATATATTTCTGTACCACATATATTTCATACTGAAAGCCCTTATAGGCATCACGCCTAGTGGGTGTAGGTGCACGTCCAAGTCTGGACAAATTGTCTGGACTGTGTTGGTAGAAAGTGTTCCGAAGGGTAATCTTAATAAAACCAATGTGAGATCATGGATGTAGATCATGAATAATTTCATAGGTGGCGAAGCCTTTAAATTTGTGCACTGGGCCAGGCCCCATTTCAGAATGTATTCAGAAGAAAAAAACATGTTTCAATTTTCAAGTGTTTTTTTTTTTTACACTGTATTCCAGGCATGCCACCAAAGTATCCGGGGAAGAAAAAGAGACTTTTTGGTCGAAAGGTTGCCAAAAGAAAGATGACCTTCACCAATGCCTGTGCACCTGGTCGCAAAAAGTCTGTAATTTTGCTAGATCCAGATGAGCCCATGGATGAGAGTACTGGCATGGTTAACCCCCTGACCATGCCACCACCTCCTCCGTCAACACCACCACCGTCACCACCACCACCAGACAACAGAACACGGAGCCAACGCTCATACGCTGCTCGCAAACGAGATGAAGCTGCTGGATGGAGAGCCATCCACGACACCCTGCTAGCAACTGGTGCTGAGCTGTCTGCCCCAACATCCTTTAGATGTACAATCTGCAAAGAGGAGCAGCCTACGACCATCTACAGATGTCAGGACTGCGGGCCGACTGCAACATTCTGCAAAGAATGCTTGTATCAGCACCACAACAATTCCCTTCACCTGCCAGAAATATGGAAGGTATGCATGGTTTACCTTGTATCCCGGGCTAATGGTATATTTTGTCAATTTGATAATTGCATATACTGTTCTTCATATTATCAAACAAAATCTTGTGCCATTTTACCTCACCTTAGCAATTGAATTTGTGTTATTATCAGGCCACACAGACTTAATTTATGGTATATGGGATGACATCCTTGAAGACCCCAAACAAGTGCGCGCAGGCGAATAAAAAAAATCCAACCAAAAATAAAAATGCTACTAAACCACAGGAATACAAAGCTAGTATTGTGAATTTGCGGCAGTACTAAGCGACGTGTATGACGAGTGTCATGCATAAAATTAAGTCGGTGTGGCCTTATTAAAGAAAATTTTGGCATGTAACACACATATCTAATTTACCTGTCTGTTTTGTCTGGACAATATATGCAAGTGTTATGCAGATAATAATGATCATGATGTACAAAATTGATGAGCAAAATTTTGCAACAATGAATTTACAATTTTAAATTTTCAATAAACAAGTACCTTTTCAATAAAAAACAACCTTATCTGAAAGAGGTTTGGGTACTCAGATTTCCTTATCAACAGTCTATTGTTTTTTGTTACAGAATAGTTGCTTTCAACCTGTCTTGGACAAAGTCTGCCTTGGTCGTCGGGATGCCCATACCTGTACAACGGGATCATCGCCCAGGACAGTGAAAGTGTTCGATGAGTCAGGTATGGATATTAATACGTCTTTGAAGTCCATTGTGAAGTGTTTTATTGTTATTTATTGTTCCCAAGCCATGTGTCCCAGCAATGTTTCTGACATGGTGGGAACTTTTGTGGTACTCACACTCACAAAAAGTTGTTTTTTAAAGATTTAGCCAGTTTAATGCCATTTGACATTACATGTATGGAAACACCTAGGGCTAACACTGATACACATTGCTGCGCCGGTACTGTACCAGAAAATTGATTAGGTACAGGTCCAAAATACAGTATGTACGGTAGAGCTACACTAATTATATGCTTATTGTGACCTAAAATAGGGAAATAGCTGGTGACCCACATGGGTCCTAGAGACAGGACGGTGTGTATTTGTTACAGTAGGTCCGGAATGATAGATTAGTTTTGCCCATATTTTGTCTAAGCATCTTAAAAAAAAGTGTCAAGTTTATTAATGTTTTTCTCAAATTGTTTAGGTATACATGTAGGTTCAGGTCTGGACCTGTATGTAAACCAGTGTACCTAAACCCATGTACCTGTAGTCCCGTGTGACCTAAAATTTGTTTAGGTAGTCACACTGCTCTACTGGTACAACGATTATCATGTACTACATGTACCTTGACAATAATTGCATAGCCCAACACTATGTAGTAACAGGGGAAAATTTTACAGTAATGTTAGGTATTTCATATTGGTTCAATGACATGCATGTAGGTTTACATTTTTTGTCTCGAGTGCACCTACATTTTTGCCTTGTGCTAAAAGATGAACTTAATTGTTTTCGCAGGACGGCCCCGTGTCATTGATGTAGACTTTTGCCCATGTGAGCCTGAGCCATGCACACTACTTCGGCTTGGATTGTGGGCAGCAAGCACAGAGGCACCTGCAACAGCCTTTTCAGTGTCTCTACTGGAGTGGCTTGTTGTGCTAAGCTTAGAATGCCACATCTCAGTGGAAGGCTTCTGCAATACTGTGAGATGGAAGAATAACCTTTCTCTTGAAGAGGTTAGAACTTGCACATTATCTCTATGATGTATGTTAACTCTTATATTGACTAGTAACTACAGGGGTGTGTGCCTATATAGAAAATTCAGGTCCAGATCAGGTCCAGGTCTGGACCTAAACCTGGACCTGATTATTGTACAGTAGCACTATATCATATTTTGGAGCGCGAAACATGAGTACAGGTCACTCACTAGTGTTGATACATTTTGGACAACATTTTATTAGCAGGCCAGTAAGCTATCACTTGTTGATGTCTAAAGAAATGTTGTACATGTATGTTCTTGCATGTTACTGTAAATGTAACTTTTTTGGAGTTGAATTTTCACATGTCCAAAACACAGACATGTAATGTAAAGGCACTCTTGAGGTTTTAATACCCTGAGACTGTTACACTGATATACTGTTCACAAAGAAATCGTAAAATAGCAAAAATTCTATCTTGTTTTACATATGGGTTATTTTCCATTCAAATTAGGTCAACAGCCTGTACAGATCTCTGGTGGGTGTACCCATTTCAGAGTTCAGACAATACGTCTACAAGCAAAGAACACTGCAACACGTCTGTCCACAGCTGGATGAAGGAACATGCTGTCCAGTATGCCCTAAGGTACCTGAATCATTTTTATAGAGAATTTGTAGCTAGTTGCCATGTTAAGTTGATTCATTGAAAGCCATTTAGAAGTATTGACATTGTTTTCGAACTTGTTTGGTCTTCAGATATTTTATTGTGTGTATACATCATTAAATTTGACTATGATATATCATGACTTACAGAGCAACGGAAAGCAAGTCATCCTGCTGGATGGCAATTTTGGATTAGTGAGGAAGTCGAGTTCTGGCACGAGCTACGCGGAGCCACATCATGGCACCAGAATGTTTGCAGACGATGACACTGTACAAGACTTCATGTCAACCTACTCCGATGCCACAAAACCTTCTGAGGTGAGATGCAATGCAAAACTTGATGTCATGACAAGCACAAAACTCTCAATGTGACAGGACAATTGTGCTGTGTAGATTGTATTACTGGTGGTGCACGTAAAATATGTACTACCTCCAGAAGAAGGTTTGAATCACAATGAACAATGGTGTAATATTTTCTATGCTTGTGGCCTAATTATGTCTAACTGGCTGACAGATGGCCTCTCCATTCAGAAAGTAAGTGCTAACTATACTACTGTACTATTTGTTGTTACATTAATCCAACAGAATTAAATTGGGCCCAATAGAAATAATTCTGACTGTGAGTAATGTAAGGGACTGGTTGAAACGTGTTATAGTACTTATACATGGCTCTTTAGATGAGGAAGGTAAAAATTCTATTGAAAGTGTTTTCATCAATCAAAATATCTCTTTCACTCCAAATAAGTTTTATCATTTAATGCTTGCATTTATATTTACTATACAGGACTGTAGCAACTTCCAAGCCGGGTCCAGATTAAGGTCGAAGAACAAGCAGACGAAGCTGGATGTTAGTGGTGTATTTGGGGCCGCATGTCGACATGAGGTCCCACTCCTGTTTGTGAACATGACTCATGGGGAAAGGTAAGCTCCTTTGTGTGGAATGAGATCTTAATTTGCAGAATTAGTCTATGCTACCTTAGGTGCTTTGTTAACTCCATACACATACAAATAGACAACGTATTTGTATGTGACAAACTAGTGGTCATTTCTTTTTATGTTAGAGGAGCAAATAAAGTCCTACTTAAAACTGTGTTTTTGGTTTTGCCAGGAGTAAGGTATGAGGATTCAGGGGTCAATATTCTATGAATGAAAGTAAAGTGACATAAATTATGATGTACTTTTGTTTATTGTGCAAAACTATTGCAAGTGCATTTGTTGTTATCATTCTTCGACTGCATAAACTTTTTATTCCTTCCAGATTGGGGTACCCAGTATTTGTCCTACAGAGGCTCGTACAACAGGCACAGGGTAACAACCTCCAGCTGCAAATCATTTATGATATTGCCTGTGTGCTGAAAGCTCACCTATCTGACCCCGTAAGTATTCCTCTTGTTATCTTATTTTATGCAACGCTGGACTAATTCCTGCATGGGACATCTTCTTTTTATGTCTTTTGCGACTGTTGTAGAACTTCAAGTATATATATATTGTGAGACACAGATGCCTAAGTGTGAAAAATCACAATAGGCTTTTGCTAAATCTGATGATATCTGGATTTACTGAACATGATTATAATCCCTGTGTCTGGCCTTACCCAATGCAAAAGTTTACTTTATTTCTGGCTGTGTACTAAAATATCAGAAATTCTTTTGCTATGAGTATGAAAACAGTTTTGTTTTCTGTCTTCTTGGAGATGTGTATGACACTGACTGCTGCAATACAATTATTTTCCAGAAAAATAAACAAGAGGACCTGTTGGCGCAGCTGGAGTTAGCTGTGCCAGCATTTCACATACATGGCCATAAGACACGTTGCCAGGTATTTCTTCCCCCATTTATTAAACTTTGATATTTTTTTTTACTTGTGACCCTGAAGGACATTTCTAGTCTCTTGAAAATAGCACAATTGCAAGTACTGTAATACAATTTACAATGATAGGGTAATCTACAATTTCTTGTCTTTTGTCTTCCCTGCATCACTTCCTCTATGTTCTTGTGAATGAATAGCATTTCCAAAGTATTGAACTCTTCCAGTATCGGACAGATGACCTACCCACATACCAAACATCTTTTTAAGTTGTCATATTAACACACAAAGTAACACTTGCAAGTTTGCAAACCATGGCAAGAAAACTGCACTTTCACATTGATCATGGTCTTTTCAATTTCTTCTTAGATACTGTACAGCCCAAGAAGAATGGAAGGCTTTGGTCTGACTGATGGGGAAGGGATGGAAAGACTATGGTCTTATTTGAGGCCATTTTTCCGAGTTACCAAAGAGATGACGCCTTCCCATCGCCTAGACCTACTCACGGATGCCACGCTGCACTATGCCAGGAGGAAGTCAACTGACATAGGTACTAAATATGTTCCAGTCTTCCACAGTTTGCATGAATAATGATTTCAATCAAATGTCGAGTCAATAATCGATTGTACACAAAATGAACAACATTCCTGCCCTATGTAAAGCAGCAAGTTATCATTTTCACTGTTTTTCAGAGTCAAGCATATGCAGTCGGTGGGATAAAGCTGAGAAAGCTTTCACACAAGCGCAAGAAGAACTGTCGCAGATCATTTCCCAAGCACCTGGTAAATATAAAGATCTTTCCTTACAATCTCCTAACTAGAAGAACCTTATGTA